AAGGCTGGCACCATGTTAAGTAAAATCCTCCCAAACTGGGTGTTTTCAGGCTTTGCCCAGTGCTCGGCCGGCTGAGTGTCGGAAGACTGAGAGTGCAGGAGAACAAGTGGAAACTAAAGCTGGAGCAGCTGACGGTTTGGCTTAATAGCCTCCTAATTAAATGCACAAGCTAACAAATTTTTGATCAATTAGAACAACTTACTTTGAGAGATCCAATTACTTTTTCTGATAAACACCTCTAGCAATTCTTAGCTCTTTTCCTTACAGATCTGGTCTCTGGCCTTGTTTTTCATCACTGCCCCAGTGCAAGCACTCTGTTTATCGATCGAGGTGTGTAACACACAGAGCACAGCTTTCCTCTTCACAGCACCGGCCCCCTGCGCGATGCAAATAAAGCAGATGCTGGAGAGCACCGCTTTGCGCTTTTCACGGTCCCTGCAGGCTGCGAGATGAGACACAAAGGCAGTTTCCTTCTACCTCCATCTTGTTAGGTATTTCCAGGGATCTAATTAAGGCACCGAATCCTCTGCCGGCTCCTCTTTGGTTCACGGGAAGCAACGAGCTATTTCCAGGGATGATTCACGCAGAGGACTCGAACCCTGCCGCCCACCTTCCCCTTCTCCTCCATTGATGACAGCAGCCCCGCAGTGGGTGGACTCCTATTTTCGGGGCTTCTGAAGGGTCTAAAGTTAGCTGGGATGAATCTGGGCTGCCAGGAGGATCGTCTGTTAGTGCAGAATTTGAAGTCAGTCCCACTGAAGTGGGAGGCCTCTGTTGAGCAGGAATACTTGGATGCTTGTAGGAACCCTACTGCGAGCAGGAGCAGACAACTGGGCTTCCACGCAGCTGGTGCTCGGCTCGGGGAGCCGGGCCCTGACTGGCGTAAGTACCTTCTAGTTATCTGCTTCTTCCTCCAGTCAGCATTTCTCAGTTACTATCATCAGGTTTTTTTCCACTGGAGTTTTGGTGGGGAGTGTGGAGGATGCTCCTGGCTCAGGCTGTTTCACATACCTGGTGCTAATCAGGATGCAGAGGGCATCCCCACACCCGCCTCACGGTACATCCACCTCCACCTGGTCCATGCTGGGGGAGTTTCTGCTGAAAGACCTCCCAGCAATGGCAAACGCCAGTCCCCCGCTGTTCTCCCCCCGCCAGCCCGCTCCAGAGTTCAGGGACATCAGCTCCAAGCCTCCTGCCGTGTTCTGGCCAGGTCCCAGGGGACTCTCAGTGCCAGGACGCTTTCTGCTGTCTGAGAGGAACATTTGTTTCCCTTGTTTTCGTTTTGGTTCTCATTCCATCCTTTTCTGACACCCTAATTAATTTGTCTCCACCTCGGGGCTTGGATTTATTATTTTGTTTCTACACACTTCAGATGTCTGCAGGTACTTCTCAGACCTCTTGCTCTCAACGAGTTTCTTAGCCAAGCACAGGAGTGTTTTGCCATCTTGTTTCTTGGCAGTCAGTCGGGATGTCTCCACCGTCCCAAATCCCCGCTCTAGTCCTCCGTGCTCAGCAGTTAGTGGATTTGCAGGTCGGGTCCAAATGGATTTGCTTTGGCTTTGTCCCCGCAGAGCAGTGTGGTTGACTTTGGCAGCCTCCACAGCTGGGAAGAACAAGCTCCCCTCCTCCAGCATATCTGCAAGAATTAAAAACCCACAATATCCAGAGGAAGGGAGTCTCTGCACAGCCTCACTTACTTGTGCTTTACCTGTTTGTGAAACCCCTTACCTCTGCAAGGTCAGAAGAGCCCAGGGCACAAAGCAGAGGACAGCTGACCCTTTGCATGTCCACAACAGCCCCAGCCTGTTCTTGACATCCAAGAACTTAATACAGAGCGAAAGCACAGTGACGTCCTTCTCCAGGCTCTCCTGTCCAAATTCAGGGGGGGATAGTGGAGCTCAGCATCAGAGCCGTGTCTCTGCTCTTACGGAGGAGACCAGCTATCCAGAGGGTGAAAGAGAGAAGATAGAACATGACCGAGGGCACAGTCCATCCCTCCGTGGGAAACACTTCCCTCTTGTTCCCCCCGGTAGCGATCATTCCTGACATCTCTGTGGCAGGCTGACTCCATCCAACCCGTAAAGGAGATTTCACACCACGGAGAGCACAAGAGCCTTTGAAATACTTGGTTCCACTTGGCTGCAGCCAGCGCCGGTCGTGACAGGCAGCATTTCTTCCCAGAGCCGGAGGAGGAAGGCGTACCTCATCCTCCTTCACTGGGGTCTGTCCTGGTCCTTCCCCCCGGGAAGGTGGGTTCAAGCAAAGCACAGCCTTTTCCTGTGGGGGGGCAAGGTGAGGCCAGGTTAGCAGCAAAGACTGCCTGCTGGGGGCTTAGTTCAGTGATTTGTATTTTTCCTAGCTTTACTTTAGGTACTTTGAAGTAGATACTCCTGAGCATCAGGTGCGTGATTCTGTCTATCCAACCTCCTATCCCAATTTAATTTCTCTAAGACTTTAAAAGCTTTTGCTCCGGGCTCTGATGATTTTGTTGGCATAGGAATCAACCACGATAGGAATTAATTGAGCGGTAAAATAGTAGGAAATTTATTAACAGGTGAAATATTCGCAAGCAGTTGAGTATCTTCATTATTAATTCAACACAAAACCCCTTATAGATCCCTGTGGTGGGATCTGTGCTGTTGGTGTGTAGGGGAGCACTATTTCTAAGGTTTGCCATGAGGTTTGATTGCTCTCCCATGCTTTGTAGTTGGTGTTAAAAAACACCAGGGTTTTCCTGCCAGTTCTGCATGAGAATCAGTTCTGGGCTTGCTCTTAGATGTGTAAGAATTAGTGAGCCGAGGGAGGGGAGTAACGGCCACGAGCAGATCGGAGGTACCTTTGGTTGGTGGGGCTGCAGAGCTTGCTGCATCCCTGTAAGACACTGAGAGCATCGTAGTTCGGTATCGCTCACGTCTCGCTTGAGTCGCCTGGTGTGGCACTTACATGGCAGCAAAGACCAGGAACGGCGTCGTCATCAACGGGGGACAGTGCCACGGGGTCTGAGCACAGCGAGCAGAGCCACGGGCTGGGCGTGGGGGGGGGTTTCAGCAGCAGCTCCAGGGAGCCATGAACCAGGTCTGGGGTCCATTCTGGGGGTCCCATCCCTCGAAACAAAGCCATGATCCAGGATCTGTCTAGAAAATACAGCTAAAGACAGCACCAGAGTGACCCACAGCATAGGCCCAGGGTCCATAGATCTGTCCCTCCAGGAGACAGAGCGAGGACATCACTCAGGCGGGGACTGGGGGCTGTGCTGAGCTTACAGGGTCCCGGGGGGGGCTGGCCGGGGCAGTTAGAGCCCCGTGGTGCCCCCGTGGGCTGGGAGCTGTAGAGGTTTCATGGGCAGCCTCAGTGCACAGCTGGAAACCTCTGCTGCCGAAAGCACAACGTCCTCACTGCAAACCTGCCCAGCCTCCTCCAGGCTTCCTTGCCTGTGTGTGTTGCTCAGCACTCGTGAACGCTACAACAACCGCCTCTGCAAGAGCAGCGCTGGCTCCAGAGTCCTGCCGTTGCGTCCATCCAGAGTTTATGACCCTTTTTTTCTCCCCATGTGCTGCCTTCTGTGATTTAGCAAGCAGGAGGGCTAATGCGACTTGACTCCTCGGAAAGATCTACCCTCAATTTTCTCTTCTGCAGGTTAATGAATTTGCAGTCCCTTGTTATATTTACCAAGCGCCCTGTTGCTAACACGGTGGGGCCGGCCAGCGCAGCACACAGCCGCTCGCTGCGGGGCCGTGTACTGATGGGACGCTTCCCACGGCAGTCACTGGATGCCTGCTGTGCCCCTTAGCCTTGATGGAAAGAATTTTCCCGAGTTGTTCCCTGTCATCATTTCATCATCGTTGTTCTTTGTGTTCTGGTACCACCCTGAGCCCCTCACCGTGAACCACAGTCTCGTACAAGGTGCTGGACGCACAGCATGCAAAACGCTCTGAAATGCTCAAAATGCAAAATCCAAGTACAGCGACTCGTCCTTCTTCCTCAGCCGGTGCCGTCAGGCGATGCTTCCAACAAACCCTTTCTGTACGGCGAAGAGAAAGCAATTAGGCTCCTGAAAGGCTTATTTCATTAGGAGCATTATTAATTTGTGTCACAGACAGAAGCAGGGGACCTTTGCCAGCCGTGATGGAGTGTTGGTTTTCCTGATGGGCGATAAAGCAATAAGCGCTGACACGCATCAGCGCGTTAGTCGGAAGTGGGCGGCCAAGGGGTAATGGGAACACTGGAGCAGCGAGTGTCTCGGTAAAACACGAGCGAGGTCTGGCTGTGCTGACACCGAGTGTTCCCAGCGCTGGGTCCAGCTCGGCTGCTAATGCATCGGGTGGTTCCCGTGCCTTGCTGAGCCTTTGGTAACGCGAGCGCGGTGTTACACCGACAGATGAACGGTTATGGGCAGCGTGGCTGAGGATGTTGATGGGATGAGCTTACGGGCTCCGAGGTGCAGCCTTGTGCATCCTCACCTTATTTGAACCTCACTGAGCAGATGTGGGTGGGAGAAGGGACTGCGGCAGGCGGGGATGGCTGATGCTGTCTGCATCTCCTGCATCACGGAGGCAGCACCGCGGGGCATTTCCCCCGGGAAGGGGAAGCAGGACCCTCCACCCTGACCTGTTGGAGCTGAGCTGGTCTCTGTGCAGGGCAGAGGTCTGTCCCCGAGGGTCTTCACGCTGCTGGGAAGTCTACACTGAGGGATAACACTCAGGGCCCTGCAGCCAGCGCTGGTGGTACCCGGGTGAAACGGGGAAGGCTGGGGAGGTGATACCATCCCGGCAGAGCCACGCGAGGGTGCACAGCCGGGTCCAGAGCAGGTATTGCGGGTGCTCCGACGGCATTGGCATCGGTCAACGCTGCCTTCCGTTCCAGCTGCAGCACTGCTGGGGCTGCATCTGCAGCAAGACGCTGATTGATTCTTCGGTCCAGAGAGGTTTGAGTCTCTCTCTTAGATCATCATTTCAGGACAGACATTCAGACTCCACTTCTGACTTGCTTTTCCCGTGCAGGGCTGCTGCCAAGGGCCTTTCGCTCAGCCTGATGGAGCGTCTCATCGAGAGATACGGGGAGAAGGTTGTGAGGATGCTGACGGTGCAGTACCGCATGCACCAGGCCATCATGCAGTGGGCTTCCTCGGAGATGTACGGCGGCCGGCTCACTGCTCACCCCTCGGTGGCCCAGCATTTGCTCAAGTAAGTGACTCGCTCCCCGCTGGTATGTGAGCAGAGATGTCTCTTTCATCCCACCGCATGCAGGGCTTGTCCCTTCCCTGTGCTGGAGTTCCCCACTCCTCCTTGCCCTGCGGTAGCATGTGTTTCATCCTTTATTTCACTGGGAAAACACTGGAGGGAGGAGATTTGACTTTTTTCCTGTGTCACAAGAAGTCAAGCAGAGTTATCTTCTGTTTTTGCCTTTGGGATGATAAACAACGAGACAAAATGCCTTTGCACTTGGTGAGAATGTACAAAAGTCTGGCTGGCAGTGGGCATACCCCGAGCAGTGTCTCTATCTCCAGCTCTCGGAGAGGGCAGGACCAGACACCCATCCTCTGCCGTGTTTCCCCACGTCCATGTGGTTACGAGGGCCAGCGTGTGTCCCGTCGCTGGTCCCAACCTCAGCATCAGAAAGAACGATTCCCTTTCAGCTTGAATAGTTTCACTGCCAGGCAGCGCCTGAGGCAGGTCCGATGGCATCGCCTCCGTGCCTTGGCTGCAGTGTTTTCCCTTTTCTTTGGTAGTTTAAAGGGAGCAGCTAGCGTTCCACTTCCACCTGGGGACAGGCGGCTGTTTGCCAGCACACGCTGTGACTCTCAATAATTGGTCCTTTCTCGAACTGCAGTCGGTGCGGTTCTGGGAGGCGGATGGGAAAACATTCATTTTCTCTGTTGGAGAAGCATAAACTATCCCAGGGCTTGTCTGTGTGTTTTGTATTTTTTTTTCTCTTGTATTTTCAGCAATACTCCAAATATTTAGGAGTTGGAAAAATTTATATTCCCCTCGAATCTCTCCATTTCGTAGTAGATCCAGTTTGGGACAGAGATAGCTGGCGAGGACATTTTATCATTTTGTTTCAAAATAATCTTAGGTGTGAGCAGCGTGAGCCGTACTGACGGTGTGAGCAGTGCTGCCTGGGGGGGAAGAGCAGGCTTCGTGTTCCCTCAGCCCAGCACCCTCACCTGCACCCGCTGCAGCCAGCGCGGGGATCTCTGCGGGTGGCAGCACGCTCTGGATTCCGGCTCCGCTCACATCAGTGAAGCGTGCTCACCTCTGCCTGGGTTGATATGCGTTTGTGTATAGGTGTGTGGTTTGCTGGGTGAGGGGGGTGGGTTCTGTAGGCGAGGCTGGGTCAGGAGGGGCTCAGCCCAGATGGGCAGAACTCACTCAGCCGTGTTTGAGCCGGACAGATCTAATTCCAGGATCGATGCTGTACACAACCCGCTTCCCCATTGCTCCTGTTCCTTGCCATGCTTTTTCTTCCACTTAACTCTGCAAATTAAAAATAGGAGCTAGTGAAGAACCCCAGGCAGAATGGTTTGAAACTGTTAAAGTAGGAAATCGATGGAAAATCTGGCGTTAGGTGCGGGTGTTATGCTGATGGGCTGGTTTGGTTTGATAGCTGATGAACGAGTGAATGTTTTTCTTTCCGGTCCACAGTGCAGCTTAGTCCCTGCTTGGGGCCTTTTCCTGCAGCCGCTGGTGCCTAAACCCATAATCAAATCTGCCAGTCCCCAGCTCTGCTGACACACCGCATGAGCACAGCCATCCTCAGCTAGGCACTGGACCGTGTAAAGTCTCTGTGCCTCTGTAGAAGAGCAGGTAACGCAGGAGCTCGTGTTCAGGTCACTAGGACAAACTCCTTCATGATATTTGTCAGCATCTCGTGTCTTTTGTTGGCCTAGGCCAAATGATTTCCTTAATCCCTTACCTGCACAAGAAATGAGTAAGTTTGATTCTCTGATGGTTGTAGGAGAAGCTCTCTCAGCTGGGGAGGTGCAGCCTGGGCTCTTTTGGAGGGGCTTTGGCCCCCTGTCATAGCTGCACTGATCTCTGTACCTTCAGAGCCGCACATCACAACAGCGATAGCTTCAGACAGGAGAAAAATGAGTTTCAGTGAAGAGACGAGACTTTTGTTGTCAATGGAGTGAGTAACGTCCGGAGCCCGGGGGAAGCGGGGCGGCCAGCGGCATACCAACGCAGAGAAAGAGCCGTGCAGTGCCCACAGCCCTGGGAGGGAGAGGCTGCAGCTGGGGGCTCGTCTTGAATGGGAGATTGCCTTTACCCTCGCTTCCCTGCCTGTCATTTGGAGGCAATCCTCCTTTTTGATGGCTCGCTGTCTGCCTTGTTTATGTGCAGACTCTCCAGAGCACAGCTCTCTGTGGTTGGTACGTGATGTACGGTAACGTCGTTGTTCCTGAGCTCTGCCATCTCCAGGCTTTCTGTTCCTGCCTTCCGTTGCCTGTCCTCTTCCTAGGCTGTGCATTCAGCTAGCGACTTCCTTGGCTATTAAATATGGTTTATTAGTACCTTTTTTTTTTAATGCGACGGCTTTAGATGTAGAAATGATGTGAAACCCCAATTCCTCTGTGGTTCCGTGTGCTGCGCTTTCTTCTCTTGCCCAACAGCACTGCTGTCGAATCCGCGGTAATACTCCAGGCACTCCTTCTCCCTCTCAACCCTGTAAAAAACAGAAAGCAGCTGCCACAGCTCCCCAGGTCTGCCGGTTCTTCCTGTTCGAGAGCACTCGAGCGAGACGCGGACACCCACGCGCTGTGCCCTTGCCTGGCAGCAGCTGGGCTGTGCAGCACGATGGCTGCAGGAGCTCTCGGCTCTGCTGCCTGGCCCGTCACGTCGTTGTTGTTAACTGGCTCTTTCCCACATACCTTGTGCAGGGACCTGCCAGGTGTCACCTCGACGGAAGAGACCACGATTCCCTTGCTGCTCATAGACACTGCTGGCTGTGGCCTGTTGGAGCTGGAAGTGGAAGACGAACAGTCCAAGGGGAATCCAGGTACCGTCCTTCGGAAAATTTTGTTGGCCAGAATGGACTGTCTGAGGTCCTCAGCCTCCCGCAGGCTTGGCCACTGCACCAACTGAGCCACGTCCCAGAGATGTCCTCCCAGGAGCAGGTGGGGGGGGAAGGAGTGGTCCCCAGGAGCTGTGCTTATTTGAGAGATCATTTCCTCGGTAAATCCTCCAGCTCAGAGGACACTGAGCAGAGCGGAGTGGCCTCAGGGCCATGATGACAGCGTGCAGCTGGTGGGTTGGCCATGCTGGCTGCCCTGTTCCTTTGCAGAGACATTTCTCCACGCTGTGGACTAGGACAGGGTGGAGGATCCCCGTTGCACAAGTTGGCGGGGCAGATAACAGCAGGCAGAGCACAAGCCTGTTGTAGGCTGTAGATGTGGCTCAGAATTGCCTCCCCGTTCTCTGCTCCTGGCATGAAGTCCTCAATGGCTCTTCTCCATGGGTTTGCTTAAGACACTGAGTTTTCTGCTGGTTTGGGAATTAAAAAATAGATTTCATTATGGAGATGAGGTGTAACGTCAGGCTCCGTAGCCATTCTGGTAAAGCGGGAGAACTTTGAAAACGATGGTGCTGCCTCCTCGGCGTCCTCACTTCCATGGCAGGGTGGGCGGTTGGGGTTTGCTGGTGGAGGATGCTGCTGGTGGAGGATGCTGCTGGTGGGGGATGCTGCTGGTGGAGGATGCTGCTGGTGGGGGATGCTGCTGGTGGAGGATGCTGCTCACGCTCCTCTGGATTCAGCCTGGCAGCTCCACGCCTGCCCGCGGGCTCCGAAGAGGCTCCCAGAGGGACTGTGCCAGGATGTGTTGCACAAGGGCTGTCCAAAGTCTGGTGCTTCATCTGACAATCCACACATCCAGCCTTGTTACAGAGATAAAAGCGTTGAGGAGAGCTTTCAGCCCACAACACTGTCGGCAAAAGGATTGCTGGGAGGGCACAGGGAGCCCTGGCTCTGGGGAAGGTGAGACTCTTCTTTCAGGGCAACATCTTCCCCTAAATTGTAAATTCACTGCCCAGGTTGGCTCTGCGGTGCCCGGAGGGGAGAGTGTCCACGTGTCACCGGTGCCCTGCTGCCTCGCCCCGAGCCACCCCTGCCTGCCCGACTGCTGCCTGCGCTTTTCCCGACGGCTGAGCCGCAGGCTTTTCTGGTCGCTCACTCACGTTGCCAAAGAGCTTACTTGGCAGCGTGGCTGCCTGCTTCTGGGGCTCGTTTGTTTTCCTCCCTGCTCACCAGCACAGATCTCGTGCCAGCAGCACATTTCTGAGGCTCCAAGTCCCTCTCTGGCAAGACAGGGAAAATGGACTGCAAAATACAAGGACAGCTCTTACCAGTTTAAATATCTTTTACCTTCTTTTGTTTGAAAACCCACCAGCATTTAAGGGCCCCTCATTTTCCATGCACCAGTCCCATGCCCTGCTGAACAGAGGAAGGATCTTGG